TAATTTAGCATTAAATGTTTTTCAATAAGATTTGGAACTCGTAAAGGAGTATGCAGATATGTTCATTTGCATCAATAATAAGAATGATCCTCTGTATTACCTTTCTGCTTTCCACCCTCCTCTGAGATTAAAATGGTTTTTTGCACAGACATTTTCAAAAAGTGTAACTTTTTTTTTTACAAACAGCCTTATTGAAGTATAGTTTATGTAGGTAAAATTCATCATTTAAAGTATATGCAGTGATCATTTTAGCTTGTTCAGAATTGTACAATCATCAGTATTAGAGCATTTTCATTTGTTTCATAACCCTAGCATCCTCTTCCTTTTCTTTTCTTCCTTACCTCAATGCTCCCCTGTACCTCCCAGCCTCAGACAATCACTTATCTAAATGTTGTCTTTAAATGTGCGCTATTTTGGACTTTGAAAGTGTTCCTCCTAACTATGACGACATATCCTTCATCAGCATCTTCCCATATCTAGACTCCTAAACTCCCAAGCCTCTGAGAACCACATGCTCCTTTCTACTTCTGTGAACTCAACATGTTTAAATTCTACATGACTGAAATCATACGATATTTTCTCTGTTCCTGGCTTACTGCACTTCATGTAACATATTCTTGGTTAATTCACCTTGGAAGTGACATGGTTTCTTTCTTTTTTATGGCCAAATAGTGCTGTTATATCACATTTCCTTTTCATTTATTTATTGATGGTTGAGACGTAGTGGTTGATTATGTATTTGGCAATGGGGAATGACACTGCAATGAGCATAGAGAAGAGGTGTCTCTCGATGTAGGGATTTATTTCCTTTGTCTTTATACTCAGCAGTGAGATTGCTGAATAATATGGTTTTTTTTTTTAAAATTTTTCAAGAACCCCATATTGTTTTCCATGACAGCTGTACTTGCAGTTCCCCCAAGGTGGTCAAGGACCCCTCTTGTCCACATTCTCATCGTCTTTGCTTTGTGTTCTCTTTTTGATGGTAGACATTCTTCATAGAGTGATGTGATATGTCAATATGGTTTGCATTTATAGGTTTATAAGAAATACTGAACATCACCCATCAGTACAGAAGTGGTTATTCTTTTAATTTTTAAAAAATTACATTATAGTTGTTGGGGTTTGTGTAGGCATGCCGCTGTGCACACATGGTGGTCAGAGGACACTTTGTAGGAGTTAGTTCTCTCCTTCCACTCAGAGTCAGGGTTCAAATTTAGATCACGAGATTTGGTAGCCCAGGCCTTTACCCACTAAGGCACCTTGCTAGTCCAAGAAGTACTTTTTCAAGGTATATATTCAAATTCTTATTTTTTCTGTATTACAAATGCTGTTATAGAGATACTGAGTTTTGAGGTGAGCTAAAAATCTGTAACTTGGTATTTTATGTAATAGAATTTTCTGAGTGTATGTTTTGTCAATATTTATTTGGTTATTTATTTGAGACAGAGTCTTGCTATAGAGTCTATACTGGCCTCTACCTTGCAGTCCTCCAACCTCAACCTCCCAAGAACTGGTATTCTGGGTATGTACCACCACACCTGGCTCTGATCAGTTTTTACAAGCCCATGTTTTTCAGCAGCAAAATGATTAAATGAATTCAGGCCAAAGGGAAAACAATGGGCTTTTTTTTTTCTTAATGAATTCTTGTTCTTCAAAAAGAAACCTAGAAGTAATCTTTAAGAGAATATCTTCCTTTTTTTTTTTTTTTTTTTTTTTTACAGCCATCTTACGTTCTTTTTTTTTTATAGCTCCCTGTAGCCACAGCTGGCCTGGAACTTGCTATGTAGACCAGGCTGGCTGCCTCCTGTGTGTATGCTGGGATGTGCTGGGATTAAAAGTGTGCACCACCACACCCAGCCATCTTACGTTCTTTTTTAAAAAATATTTTATTTATTATTTTTATTTTATGAGTATGTGTGTATTGCCTGCATGTAGGTAAGTGTACCCATGTTGTGCAATGCCCGCAGAAGACAGAAGAGCTATGTAGACCAGGCTGGCTGCCTCCTGTGTGTATGCTGGGATGTGCTGGGATTAAAAGTGTGCACCACCACACCCAGCCATCTTACGTTCTTTTTTAAAAAATATTTTATTTATTATTTTTATTTTATGAGTATGTGTGTATTGCCTGCATGTAGGTAAGTGTACCCATGTTGTGCAATGCCCGCAGAAGACAGAAGATGCTGTCGGATCCCCTGGGACTGGAGTTACGGACAGTTGTAGCTGCCATGTGGGTGCTGGGATTTGAACCCAGGTCTTCTGCAAGAACAGTCAGTGTTCTTAACTGCTGAGCCATCTCTCCAGCCCCATCTTACATTCTTTATTAACTAAAAATATGGAAATCTTAGAGCTGTCTAAATGATTTTATAAAATGCATTCTGAGATATATAAAATTTGATTTTTTTTTCTAACACCAGGATCTTAAACAGTTTTTCCTTAATTTCACTGGCTACTGTGCTACCTTTATTATGGCACGTATTAATGAGTGTCAAAGGGGTTTTAGAGGTAAACTATTTCTCTGTTTCTAAAGAGGAAGCCTTAATTGTCCTCTGAGCCTAGGGAGATATGTATTATAAAGCCTGTAACATTGCAAGTAATTCATTGTGTGATAAATTCATACCAATGGTTTGTATTAAGTTCAGTTTTAAATGCTTATTTCTGTCTTTTGATGATGTGGCACAGGTAATACCCACTCCCATATAAATACACCATATTTTCAGTAAGCTCAAGCATATTCCACTTTAGAATCTTTTATGTGCCTTGTGATACTCTGGAAATCAGAATAATGTTTGGAAACTACTATTGAAATGTCATGTAAAATGTCTTTACAAGAAACAAAGTAGCTGTCATTCAGCTCTCCTGTGTCTTCAGCTGTTCATCCCTTAATATACAATCAGAAATTTGAGCAGCTTAGGCAGCATGGCCTCTGGCCATTGTCCATAAGTAAAGAATGCAGGAAGGGTTAGTGGGGACACAAGGGTAGGGGTGAGCCTTCAAGTATGTATTTTTCAGGACAGAGGAGATGGCTCAGCGGTTAAAGTACTTGCTGAGAAAACAAGAGGACCAGAGTTCAGGTACCCCAAAACCACTTAAATGTTGAGTGGGTATGGTCGCCTGCCCATAGGTTCAACCTATAGGGGATTCCATCAGCAAGTTGGCTAATGAGACTAGATATATTGGTAATCTCTGGGATTGACTGAGTATATGAAGTGGAAGAGGGATCGAGAAGGGATCCTTCAACTTTGGGACTCTGCACACACATACACAAATGTGCATACACGTGTGTGTCACACCCCCACAAACACCCACACACATGTGAACACATGTACATCTACATACATGTACACTACACATTTGTGGACATGAAAAAAAGAAAAGACAAAATTTTTTGTCTATGTTATTCTCAGACTTCAGGCTAAATAAACATGCCAACAAAAATAAACAAAATAACGAAACAGTAGTGGGTGTCAGATAAGTTACACTGAATGGATGGCGACATCTCTATCATAGCCACAGTCTCCACTGCTTTGAGTTCCTAATGACTTATGGACTGCTCCCATAAGGTATGCATGGAGTTAAGTATTCTATATTCAGAGTTAGAATAAAAATTATTAATATCATAAAATCTTGAACTGGTGAAATGAATGATCAGCTAAAGAGACTGCAAAAGTGCAGCTTGCTAGAGAAATTCAGCTGTAGAAACATAAGTCACCTCACCCAAACTGGGCTGGAGGAGAGAAGTCAGGGTAGGCTGGAAGAGTCCCAGACACCTGGGTTGAACTGTAAGGCGTATCCAGGGTCAGCCAAGCCAGCAAGGGTGTGAGAAAGCTTTTCTGGCAAGAAATCAGTGGTTGCAGAGGGATTCAAGCTCAGAAAGAGAGCTTGTGTGGGCAGTTGTAAAGACCTGTCTGAGGTTTGCAGAGGGGAGTGAGGTTAAGGGAATGTCAAAAATCTGGAAGAATAAAAGACACACACACACACACATGTATGTGTGTGTGTATGTATATATGGTCTTTTTGAGACAGGGTCTCCCTGCAGCCCCAGCTGTCCTGGAACTCACTATGGAGACCAGGCTGGCATAGAGATCCACCTGCCTCTGTCTCCCTAGTGCTGGAATTAAGGCATGCACCACCATACCCTTATATTTTTAAAATTTACATTTCTCTGTCTCTCTGTTTCTGTTTCTCTCTCCTATCTCTGTTTCTCTGCCTCTCTGTCTCTCTCTGTGTGTCTCTCTGTCTCTCACTGTCTCTGTATATGTGTGTTATGCGGTCACACATCCTTGCCACAGCAATCATGTGGATGTCAGTGGACAACTTTCAGGAGTCATTTCACTCCTTCTATCATGATAGTTCCAGTGATTGACTCTGGATTGTCAGGCTTGGCAGCAAGTACCTTTACCCACTAAGCCATCCCCCTGGCCTCCAGAACTTTTTATTGCCAAGTAAAAGGATACCCTTCAAAGGACTTGGGACAAAAAGAATGATCTGATCAGATTTACATGTAGTGTGAGAACTTTGACTGCTATGTGAGAAGTTGGAAGAAGAAGGCAAGGCTTAAGTGGTCCTGAGATTGTTCTTGTAATTGGTGGCAGGTGTGTTATGCTGGCAGTGGGACTTTGAGTGCCACTGTCTTTAATGCCTTACTTACCCTAATGTACAAGGCAATCAACAATGAGGCAGTAGACATGACACCAAAATTGGTCAGAAATCAGATTAAGAGAAAATAATCTCTTATTTCCTTCTGTTAGTATTTGAAATTGTGTCAGTGTTTTTCTTTATATCTTTAGCAGCTTAAAAAAAAAAAAAAAAGAAAAAAAAAAAGAAAAAACAATCAGGTGCTTCCAATGTGACTCCCTTTTTTTAGAGGACTCAGTTCATGCCAATAGTGAGGGCCTGAGTTTATAAGATGCCCAATCCAAGGAGCTGCAGCTCCTACAAAATGTTTCTTAGTTAATTGAATGTGTGACATGAAATAATAATTGTTTCATCTTTTATTTTCAGGATGAGCCGAAACTACAAGAGAGTTTAAGGCAAGGTGCCACAATTATTGCTGCCGTAGTTAAAGAAAGAAGCTCTGCACTTGGTGGTCAGCTCCTGGTAGCCTGAGAACACAGGCAAAACTAAAACCAAACAACAAGAAAAGAAATGACCTATAAAGCTTCCAAGACATTTCCCCAGAACCCTATCTTGTACTTTATTCCCCACCCCCATTCTCTCCTAGTGTTCGGTAGAAAGTTTTAGTTGTTTTATACATCTTGCAACTTGTAGAATGTGATGCTTAGATTGTGAAAATAGGTTAATGTCTGTGCCTATGAAATTATTTGTGTCAAATGTAAATGGGCTCAACCAGAGACAAATAAGTCGAAAATAACTGCCTTTCATAAAGAATCTTTTCAAAACTGCTGAAAGTCCAAATTGAAAGGATAAGGGCTCAGCTGCTCCTTCAAGTAAGGAGACTGTAGGAAGCTTAGCTGTTATCTTAGATCTATTGTTAATTAACAGCTTGATCACATTATAATGAGACTAATGACTAAGATTTACCTTGTATTATTGTATTATTGTTAATTGCCTTGTTTTGAAATTTACCAAACCTTAAAATGGAGGGGAACTGGGAAAACAGCTCTGGGAAAGTGCTTGCCTCACACGTATGGGACCCCTGGACCAGCATCACAAAAGGCAATGAAAAAGAGAAAGAAAAATTTGGGAGTGTGGGGTGTAACAGGAAATGGAATTGTTTCAAATTATTTTCACTTTTGTCTGCTATTACTCTAGATCTCTAAAGAGCTTGTGATTGTTTTCTGCTTTTCTATCATTTTTAAATTGTGTGCTTTCATCAGTTGTTGGAATGTGAATATTTTGAAGTTTTTAATTTTTCTGAGTAAGTTTAAGAGAAGTCTGGAGCGCTACATCAAAACAGAGTTACTTGAAGCTGTCCCTGGATATAGGCTTCCAAAAGTCAGGGGCGCTATTGCATGTCTTGGAATTAAATTAGTTACTTTTGATGTAGGCACTGCTGCCTTGTTTAATCAATTTCTTTGTCTGCACATATTATTATTTATCTTTATATTGCATTTAATAATAATTATATACAGCCATTAAAATACCTTTTAGTCTATACATACATTTATTCCATTGAAATAAATTAGATCAGGTCATTTCAGGACTTAGACTGAATGAGGAGATTATGAGTTGCATGAAATCTTTTCAGTGGAAAGGGGACAATAAAATATCTGCTTTCTGAAATGTCTCCTTTAGCATGGTAGATAATTTCCTGTTTCAATCAGACTTAATATCAAGTGTTAATATCAGAGTAAATGTGTTACATTTGAATAATAGAGATCTCAAGTATGGACGTTGTATGGAGTTCATATTTTACAATTAAATAGTAGTGACAGAATGTAATAGGCATGGGATATTTTGCAGTTGATCCTAAATGAATGCTGCTTGCATCTAAATGCTGCTTGAATCTGCTTGAATATAAATTACTGGGCTCACCTTTTTTTTTTTTTTTTTTGTATTAAGAAATACAAATCAGTTAACTCAGATTAATGGGGTCAAAATATATAGGCATTTGTAGACTTTGGTTAGAACTTGTGTGTCTCTGTTGAGGTGCCCCCAGCTGGGGGCAAAAGGCCCTGCGGTGAAGTCCACACTCTGGGCCTAAAGGTTTTAAGACTTTCAAAGTCTTCATAAGGTAGAAGGGCAATGTTACCAAGATTTTAAAGAGAGGATGAGTGGCTTTAATAGGCAGACGCTTGGTATATCTATACCACAACAAGATTGTTCTATAGACTGCTGGCTAGGTCAGCATAGATTTCAATTTAGTAAAGATTGTTACAGGGGACAGGCATTTACACAGAGTATACATTAGTGATTCATAACATAGAAAATGTAGAAGAAATACCCCACTCTCCCCAGCCAGCACTGTTTAGATAAGGAAAGTGGGACTTGGGGTCTTATTTACCTTGTCCAAGGTCATGGGGCCACATCGTTAAGAGGCAGGAAGACTGAGAATCAATTTTAAGCTCATATCCCTATATAACAGTGAATCTTGGCAAAGACATTCAAAGGAGAAGCTGAGAGATCTAAGTAGGATTTTGGAGCAAGCCCTGAAGAATGGAAAAGGTGAGGGGCACATGTTTGTGGCTGCATATGCCCCAGGGCTCCTGACTTTCCAGCCACCATTCCAACAGAAGGAGGCATGAAAGAAATGGAAAAACTTGGTGACCAAGAGAAAAAGGTAAACTATTCTTTTGTAAAAGACCCAGAAGTAATTTTACATTTTTTCTCACTGCTTTGCAAATTTAATTACTTTAATAAATTGTCCATTCTCACTTTGTTTGCCAAAATTTACTTTAAAAAATAGTAATTATGCTACAAAGTTGCTGAAATAGCTTTTACTTATAGGCAAGTTTTGGAAAGTCTTCTACTTCTAAATTTATACTACTTAGTTAAATACAATGTAAAGTGAGTCGTTTGGGGAATTTGGCACTGACCAAGAGGACCAATGACTCGTATTAGCTAGGGGTAGTGTTTTTACATTGTAATACTCAATTTAAGAAGTGACTTGTGAGTGTTCTCATCTAAAAGTCAGGCCCTACATCTGTTGGAGCCGTAACTGTGCAGTCATCTTGGGCATGCTGTGCTGAATTAATAGGAAAGTTCTTTTTCTATTCTAATTAATTATCACTACAGATTTCATTTCACATTATATAATTATGGTAATCACTATGAAAATCAAATAGCAAAACATTAAAATATGTAAATTCCACATTGTTTTAAAGTTGAAACTAATTGTGGATTCATGGAAACATAATGTATAGCATTTTAAGTAAAACATTAAGCAAACTATTTAGAAGAAGAAATAGTGAAGGTATTTTCAAAGATCAATTTAAAAATAAACAGAATAAATTTAAAATTCGATTAATTTAGAGCTAAAACAATTTAAACTCAGTGGTCTAGTAATGACTGTGTAGATAGTGTTCAGTATTATTTGGTTTCTATTCTTGTACAAGTAAGTTTCAAAACTGAAGAATACACACATATTTTTAAGATGAAAAGTAAAAACTAAACCTAAAGATTCTGAATATGTCCTTTTCAAAATAATATATAAGCATTAAAAATTGATAAGCAACTAATAAATTATTGATATTTTGTAATCTAATTGCATTTTATTTTACATTTAGCACATACATAATTTTCAAACTAACCCAGTCACAACTGAATATTCTCAAAATATAAGTGTAAATTATCCCTCCCAATATGCTCTTCTTTGCCATGCCCTCACATTCCCCACCCCAGTTAACATTTCCTGTTCCTTCTATTTCCCCCCTTTATATCACTGCATTCTATCTCCCCTCCCATGAAGGGATAACTAATACTAAAGGCCTTTAGAAAAAAATCATATGGAAACTTATCACCTTAGAAGCTTCTTAAAGTATACACTTACACTTTACAACAAAGAAATTAAAAGGAGTTACCTTATAACAGGGGTACATTGCCCCTATTAGACAGCATAGACTAGCAAAGTAAAAACACAGTGACAGGAACGGACTCTTTCTTTTGAATCTGTTGGCCAGGGGTCCCATAGACATTCAGACAATATCAGCCATTGCCTCTTCTCTTGGTTACCCACAAGAATTTGATAGTAAGACTCCATTGCTGAAGACACTACATGCATGAACCATAGGAAAAACAAGGAGAAAACAAGCTGGTACTGACTTCAAAGTTTCATATTTAGTGCTGGAAGGCATGATACATGCTACCAAAAGTAAAAAGAATTAATCATTATCCTTCCCAGTTGTGGGTCCTGTGTTCTTCAACACCAACTGGCCTGGAAAGATATGACCTCTGGAGCTGTAGTGGCACAAATATTATGGGAGTAACCAATCACTTTCTAGTTGGATTTAAGGTCTGCTACATAAGATGGAGCTTATACCTAACATTGCTATCAGGCCTAGGAACATGTGGCTAGAGAGACCACAGACCATAGAGGGGAGCCTTATACTGTTATTCTGCTAAATGGATAGAGTATCAAAGTGATTACTAGTGACATCGCTATACCCATAGATTAGTGGGCATCTCTCAGTTCTCACCAGAGAATCTTCACTATGCAGCAGATGGTGATTAACACACAACAGGCTAACATGCAGAGAATAAGAAACTGTAAACGAACATCTGAAGCGAACATCTATATCAAACTTCTGCCTCCAAAGGCTCAGAGATCATTGCATAAGAAGTGACAGAAAGATTTCAAGAGCCAGAGGTAGTGGATGACCACAAAGAAACCAGAGTTTTCCAGACAGCTGGTAAGTTACTCATATGAACTCACAGCAATGGCAACAGCTTGCACAAGTCCTATTTAAACTCAAGCCAGAAAAAATCCAAGCATAGACCTTGTTAAGTGGGTATGAAACCCCAACCCTACTTGAGGAACTATTGAAAACAAATGGCTTCTGGGAAGGGAAGAGTAGTCTTGAGTAGGTTAATGAGGCTCCAGTGGATGGATCCACACCAAAGTGCATTTGACTCTACAGATATATATCTGAAACTGGAGGTAGTAAGGGGAGGTGCAGCTAGGGGAGGGGATCTAAATATGACCAAAATATGTTGTGTGAAAGTTGCAAAAATTCAATAAAAAAGGGAAAGGATAAAACCAACAACAAAAGTGAAGGAAACCCTGTCATTTGCAACAGTATGAACAGACCTGAAGGATATCATGCTAGGTGAAATAAGGCCAACACTGAGAGACAAATACTGCTTATATTTGGAATTTGTAAAAGTCAAATTCACAGAAGAGGTTAGAATAGGAGGGCTGGGAGATGTTGGACAAAACATAAAGTTTTACTTAGACATGAAAAATAAATGTACAGGAAATCTACTATACATCATAGTGACTATAGTTAATAATAACTTACTGTATAGTATTTGAAATTTGCTAAGTATGTGAGGTAAAATTCGTACTAATTGGCTCAACCAGCCATTACACCATGAGTTTAAAAGTGGGTCTTGTGCACGCGGTCACTGTTGTTGGGAGTTCATATGAGTAATTTCCCAGCTGTCTGGAAAACTCTGTTTCCTTGTGGTCATCCACCACAATCTTTCTGTCACCTGTTATGCAATGATATCTGAGTCTTTAGAGACAGAATACATATAATGTGTGTGTGTATGTGTGTGTGTATATATATATATACTTATGTATGTATTTCAAACATGTTTTATAGCATATATAGAATTTTACCTTCAATAACAATAAGAAACATATTAACTTAGAAAAAAACAAAACACTGTAATGGTTTATATTTTAGAAGACAGAATTTGAATTCCAGATCTTTTATTTTTTCAAAGATATTTTCAAATTGCCCAACCAGAAGTCTTGCTAAGATTGTTCCTTCTCACTCTCAGCAGGTTCGTTTATCAGTTTTGTAGCTGGCCAAATTATAATCTAGCCAAACTGTAAAGCTTCAAGTTAATACTTTGTCTCAAAAACTAAGGTGGAGAGTGATTGAGAAAGACACTTACTGCTCATCTTTGTTCTCCATACACATGTGTATACACATGTGCACACATGAGAACACAGACACATGGAGAGAAACCCCATGTTGTCTACTTGTTCTCCCTGCTTCTTCTAGCATCACGAGAAGCCCAGGATCACCCTGCTTTATTGCCTCCAGCA